AGAAGGATCAAAATAGCCTGGACCAGGTGTGCTGTATCTGTACAGTGGAATATTATTCAGCCATAAGAAAGAATGAAGTCCTGATATGTGCTGCAAATATGGATAAATCTTGAAAATACTGTGCTAAGTTGAAGGAGCTTGGCACAAAAGGCTACATGTTATATGATTTCATTTATATGAAATGTCCAGATTAAGCAAATTTGTAGAGACAGAAAGTACGTTAGTGGTTGCCAAGGGCTGGGGGAAGGGCAATGAGGAATAACTGCTAATGGGTACAAGTTTTCTTTTTGGGCTGATGAAAATGCTCTAAAATTGATTGTGGCAATGGTTGTATGACTGTGAATATCTAAAACCCACTGAAGTAGATTTCTTTTGGTGACAGTGTGACTATGTACTTAAAAATGGTTTTAATTGTGGTAAAATACATATAACATAAAACTTACCATCAAAATAATTTTTAAGTTTACACTTTAATGGCATTAAGTACATTCACATTCTTGTGCAAACAACACCACCATCCATCTTTTCACTTTGCAAAACTGAAAATGTACCCATTAAACAATTCCCCACTCCTTCTTTCCACTGGCAACTGCCACTGCCACTGGCACTTGCAGCTGCCATTCTGCTTTCTCTCTCTATCATTTCGACTACTGTGGGTACCTTATATAAGTGGAATCACTTAGAATTTGTTCTTTTGTGACTAGCTTGTTTCACTTCGTATGATGTCCTCAGGGTTCATCTATGTTATGTTTCAGAATTTCCTACCTTTTTGAGGCTAATATTCCATTGTATGTATACACCACATTTTGTTTGTTCATTTGTCCATTGATGGACACTTGGGTTGTTTCCATGTTTAGGCAATTGGGAATGATGCTGCTATAAACATGAATGTACAAATAAAATGAATGAATGAACGAATGAATGGCCTGGACCACTTTCCTCACTCATTCTTTTCTACCCACGCTGACCCAAACTCAACAAGTTCCTTCCCATTTCAGGGCTCTCATATTAATTTAAAGACAGACAGTGGGATTTGTCCTGTACTGTCCTCTGCTTGAGAAGTTCTTGGTCCTTTTTACTTGTCTTTCAGACCATAGCTTACATGTCACATTCAGAAGAGACCTTTTCCTGTCTCCCAATTTGATTTAGGTCCTCTTATACTTTTTCTTCATGGGCTTATCATTATTGTGGTTGCACTGGTATTACATGATTCTTGTTTACTGTCTCTTTCTTCCAGTAAGCCCCATGAAGGGGAGTGACCATTTCTGGCTTGTTTGTTCCCTGCTGTATCTTTAGCTCCTAATGCAGAGCTGTATGAATATTAGATGTCATAAACGATTCCTTTATGAAGAGAGATTGAACTGCATCAGTGATTTTTGACCTTTTTAGGATCTTTGCCCTCAGGAAACCTGATGTGATAGCTATGTACCCTCCCTGAAATCAGGCATGTGTACCTGATTAACCCCAGGGGTAAATTTTGACCGTAGGTGAAAGATCTCTGGCTTAGACTGAATAGAGTTAAGCTTCCTACTAATGCTGTGATTCTGTGATTATACTCTCAACCTTTTACAGGTTGAACTTATGAGTGACTAAAAGCTGTTTGTCTTAAATATATTATCTATTTAATAATTTTGCCTCTCAAATCCCAGAAAAGAAGATGTTATAAAAATTTTCTTGAAGAAGTGCATCTACTCTCCCTAAGTTATATATCTACGGTTTTCTAAAATTTCTGAACTGCTCTCCAACCTAAATATGTGAACAAGGAAAGAGGATAGGTTTTGTTAGCAAAGATTATTTTTATCTATGCTAAAAAATTTAAGGCAAACTAAAACTTTTTTAGCTTGAACAATTAAAGGACATGTGATTTCCCAACTTAGTAAATGCTGTTTTTGTTGAGGGTATTGTATTTTGTTTTGTGTTTTGGTTTGGTTTGGTTTTGCCGCTCCCTAACTAAATCCTGATTATTTCCTGATTCATAGTATTTTCCTTCCTGATTCATAGTATCTTCCTTCTGAATGATATTGTAATGCCAGCCACATTTAGAATTTTCTTTCCCTTTAACCATGAATTGCCAAATAGGCGATAAAGCCAATGAAAGTTTGCTTTGATGCATACATTTAGGAAACATCCAGCTAGCTCTGGACACATTTCATCTTTGTAATATTCAGCTTACTCTAGGGATCTGGTACCTAAAACATTATCTACTCTAGTGTCTCAATAAAATGTTTTCCCCCTGCTGTTACAGGTACTGGAAAACTGGGCTTCTCTTTTGTGAGGATCACAGCTCTTATGGTGTCTTGTAATCGTCTGTGGGTGGGGACAGGAAATGGTGTCATTATTTCCATCCCACTGACAGAAAGTAAGTATATTTTCACCTGATTGTCATAGTGCATATAGGAGTGTTGCAGAGAACAGTCATTTCCAGAATTCAGGCAGAAGGAAGTGTTTGGTATTGGCAGCTTTGGTGGCAAAGATCTAACTATCATTCTTTCACTCTATAAAACTTATGAACTGTAACAAATAACAGTTTCTGTGTATCAGGAACCAATATTTATAATTTAAAAGTTTTTCATTCTGAGAAACTCTTTTATTCAATTCAGCAATCACAATTGTATTTCATCTTTTAACAAAATGAAAAAATATTCATTTTTTTCCTGCTTTATTATACCAGTATCCAGAAATACTACCTAACATTCATCCTGTTTTTTTTTTTTTTTTTTCCAATCTTCCTGGCAGTTAGTTTAGGATAATTAATTCCATTTGGCTTATTCGAGGTTTAGAAAAAGTTGTGGGAGGAGTTTCTCAGGAGGACAACATGCCCTTCCTTGTGCTGGAGACATGTCATCTATCCGGTATTTGAAAAGAATGTGAACAAAATGTACATTGTATGGTTTTTTTTATTATGCTCCATTATTTTTTTTTGTAAACAAAATAGACATTTTATGTTTCTTATGTTCCATTACATTCATCATTCATTAAATAAGTGTTTTTGTGTTGCAAAATTCATGGGCAGGAAATGGTTCGAAAATAAGTGCCCTAAGTCCATAAAATAAGTTAATAAACACCTTGGAATCGCCCTACCTTTTTTCAGGAGAAAGGGAGGAGGACTGGAAGGTGGTTTATCTAGAGTCTCTAAAGAACCTAAATTCTTAATCCCAACTGTCTTTCCTGCAATTACTTACAAATCTACATGTTTAGACCACTTACAGCCTAAGAGATTCTAGGATCCCTGGAGTTCATTTCAGTTCTTTATAAAAGAGAGTTCCATTTTAGCCTGGTTAATTGAATGGGATTTCTTAAAGAAAAAGGGGAAATATTAGCATTTAGGAAATGCTCCCCATTAAGTTCTTATTAGCTTATAAAGTACTGAAATTGCTTTATATTAAGAAAAATAAAATCACAGTAAATCAAATTGTATTTTTTGAGCAAAGATATTTGATAGAGGCTTTGGTAAGAACTTTGAGGGTTACTTGGTATTATACCAAGTTGGATTTCGTTAGGTGCTTTGGACTCTGAGTTGCCAGATAGAAGACGCCGAGAGTGGTGGCTCATAGTAATTCTTCTCCTCCCTGTCGTGCACCTCTCCATGTCCCCTTTCCTCCTCTCTCACTTTAGCCGTAATCCTCCACCAGGGACGTTTACTGGGGCTCAGGGGTAAGTGCAGATCCTGAACCAACTCTTCCTCCTGGCTTCTCATAGCCACTATGAGGCTGTTCTCACGTCTCTAGATACCCTCTTGAATGTTCCTAAATGTCATCCACTTGCAGTCACTGCATTGCAGCAGGTGTTTTGTTGTTGTTTTTTATTTGATGTCTGTTACATGGCCACCAAACTATTGCTCAGCAGCTTAGTCTATTGATCATCTTTTGTTGCAGCTGAACTTTCTTTCAGACTTTTTTCCTTGCAATAAAAACACAAAACATCTCTTAAAACTGTCATTAATCTACATCGTTTACTCTTATTACCAGTCATGTTTCTTTCATTCACTTACTAGCCCATGGAATGGGGATGTTTTGTGAGTCTGGTCATTCTAAAATAATCCAGCAGACCACCAGTCTGGCATAAATAAAAGCTACTTTATTGGAGTGCTGGATCCTTTTAAGCACAGTTTTTACCACCCCCTCAAGGGAGATATTCTTACCATAGGGGAGAAAAAAACAAGATAAATTATGAAAATTTTATTTGAAAATATGCCCATTTACTTTAAATATGTAACTGGTTAGTGTTCTAAAATGGGGATTAAAAAACAAAACAGACATACCTAAGAATCAAATCTGTTTTCTTTTGTTAACTAAAATGATTTTTAAAAAATTAATAGATGTGTTTAAAAGGTAAGCATAGTTATTGCTAGACTGGCAAAATCCCCTACTCCATTTACTGAGGTACTTAAAAATAACTAGCATGCTGTATATCTCTTTTTTCCAGCTTTGTCTTGAATTGGCATTGCTGCCTTTGTTTTATCTCAACTGGCTGTAGCTTTTAGATAATATCATAAGGATTAACCAGTAACCTCTTGCATCATTACTGTTTCTAGGGGAAAATATTTGGTATTTGGTTTTTCTGTTGCAGCAAATAAAACCTCAGGAGCACCGGGAAATCGTCCTGGTAGTGTGATCCGCGTATATGGTGATGAAAACAGCGATAAAGTGACTCCAGGGACATTTATACCCTATTGTTCAATGGCACATGCACAGCTTTGCTTCCATGGGCATCGGGATGCTGTGAAATTCTTTGTGGCAGTCCCAGGTGAGTTAGATTATTCTGTTGAGAAGCTGTATATAATTTTCTCTCTTCTGTCCTTCAGTTCCTCTACTTAACTCTGATTATAAGTAGTGGAATTACAAATCATTCCAATATAATATTACGAAATGTTCTATAATGAAGATATGAATAAATATTCGCTGCAGGGATATTTGAATGAAGTTTTTTAGAAATGCTTCTCTTTCCTCCGCCACCCTACCCCCAAAATTTCTTGATTTTTAATTAAGAGACCTGCTTACTTTTGAAAAGCGATGGTATTATTTTGTCACTACAGAATACTAAACACGGTCTTGACCTAATAAAAGAGATCACCAGGAAGAAGCCCCTATCATCAGGGCTGTGTGCAGGAAGAGATGGAGAATGTGCTCTGATACCTTTATCAGTGTTGTGGCAAAGATCAGTAGACTAGGAGTCTGGGAGTCTGGGCCTTCTGGCTCACCACTTGCCTTGAGCAAGTCACATACCTTCTAAGACTCATTCCTCCTTTCCTTAAGTGGATGTGATTAATATCTACTGTCTGCCGGCCTCATTTGTTGTGAAAATTAAAGAAAGTGCTTGGAGAACTGTAAAGTGCTATCTAGATGAAAAATGTTCTGAATATTAAAAGTATTAAAGTGATGTTACCATTTGTAAGCAGGACCCTTGTTTTGAAATTTTTTCTCCCATAAGAGGCAAGTTTTGGAGTTAGACAAAGTTCAGATATGATTTTGCCACCCAACTAACTGGGTGACATTGAACATAGTAGTGTCCCAGTGTACTAGTTCGGGTTCTTCAGAGAAACAAAACCAACTGGGCTTTGGGGCCGGGGAGGAAATTGGCTCATGTGATTATGAGGGCTGGCAAGTTTGAAATCTGTGAGACAGGCTGGTATGCTGGAGACCCAGGAAAGAGTTGATATGGCAACTCAAGTCCAAAATCAGTCTGGAGGCAGAATTTTCTCTTCTTTGGGGGAAGCTTTGTTTTTCTCTTAAGACCTTCAACTGATTGGAAGAGACCCACCCACATTATGGAGAGTAATATGCTTTACTCATATCTAAAAAATACCTTCACAGCAATATCTAGATTGGAGTTTGACCAAATATTTGGGCACCATATCCTAGCCAAGTTGACGAATAAAATTGACCATCAGACTTATTTTCCCAAGAATGTTTCAAAGATTAGATGATCAGGGCTGGCCCATGGTACCCTAGTTATTCAGTATTCTTAGCAACATGGTAATGAGCTTCATGGTAATGAGCTTCCTGAAACATATATCTTGTATTTTTGTATAGTTATTTTCTTAGGATAAATTTCTAGAAATGGAATTGCTGGTAATAGTGGGTTTTTTGTTTTAAAAATAAGAAATGAAATGTCATAGGTCACCTTTGAGTCTTCTTTATATCCCTCCAATCCCATTCCCTTCCCTTTTCCTGTCCATTTCTAACCTCCATTTCTAACCTCCTGCCCATATTTTTATACTTTCACTACATTTGAATATATCTATAAACAATATATATACTTTCTGTGTTTTTGAATCTAACTTAAATGTTTTGTTATATATATATATTCTGCAACTTCTCATTTTTTGAGATTTATCGAGTTTATACATAAAAATCAAGTTCCATTTAACTGTGGTATTCTAACATCTGACTTAAATGTGCTACATTTTATTCATTCTCCTACCGATGGATTTCTCATTTTTTTCCCCTTTTCCTGCACTATTAAAAACTGTTGCAGCAGACCTCTTTGTGTACATGGGGAAGACTTCTGTTGGGTATAAATCTGGAAGTAAAATTGGCAACATTATTATTTGTTGACCAGTTGGCCCTAAGGATTAAACCATTCAGGTTGGCCTTATTATCATACCACTGTGCTCTTGCTTCTGTGGCAGAACTAACAGTTCCCTCTGGCGAGACTGATTTCTACCACAATTTAATTTGAGTAATGCATGAATGAGATACTGTGGGACTAAATCAAACTGTCCTGTTCACTTTCAACATAAATTAATTTTTTAAGATGTGTTGCATCATAGGATTGTGTCCTGCTGTCTCCTGGAGGTGTGTTCTGTGTAGTTTGACCATAGGACAACAGATTGTGACAAGAAAAAACAATACCCCACAGTCAGAGCTTTCTCAGAGGGATGTCAATAGAGCTTATAGTGTGAATAATATTTGAAGATTTTGCTCTACTATTTCAAGCTCAAGGATTCTACCTTAGAACTTAAACGTTATAGCAAATGACACATTTACCAATGATTTTATTTGCATAATCTAAATAAAATTAAGATGTACTTTTCTTAAATGTGAGAGGAAAACCATGGATTTGAAATAAACATAAATATTAATTAGGAATATCCAAGCTCATAGGCTTAAGGTAAAGACTTTTCTCAGTCTTTTACACAAATCCACATATGCCCTCTCAGGGGAGAGACCTTTTCACTGTCCCTCAGATCAAAGGACGTAGATTGTAAAAGTCTGAAGCAGGCAGCTAAGACTAGCCTGACCATAAATAGATTTCATACTGGGTTTTCGACCTGTGTCTACTTTCATACAAAATGGCTTCACTTAGATTTTCAAATTGGGCTCCTATGACTTTTATAAATGTTTTCCAATCATGCAGAGACTTCTATCATCCCCAGTATTTTGGTTGTATTAGATTATACTTACCTTTTTGTTCAGTTTTCCAAAAATATTCAGAAAAAGTGAGTCTTCCCACCCAGTCTGTGAAAAGTAATATTTATTTCTGATCCTTTATAAATAGGTCAAGTCATCAGCCCACAAAGTGGCAGTAGTGGCACAGATCTAATGGGTGACAAAGCAGGGCCATCTGCACAGGAACCTGGCAGCCAGACACCCTTGAAGTCTATGCTTGTCATCAGTGGAGGAGAGGGCTACATTGACTTCCGGATGGGTAAGCTAGTGGTTCTGGGAATGCAATTTCCACTGTGTTTTGTGACTTGGATGTTCACCCACAATAAACAAGAAACCACTCTGATAAGTGCTTTCTAGGATGTTCTCTTTGAATTCTTTTCTTGGAAAAGCACTTATATATTTCCTTCCTTCCTTCCTTCCTTCCTTCCTTCCTTCCTTCCTTCCTTCCTTCCTTCCTTCCT